TGATGCTATAGGGAAATTTGGAATATTGTTTATCCAAAGTAAAATTGGTTGTCTGAGTACGTTTGAGATATCACACAGTATACTTTCAATAGAAAATAAAAATGGATTAGCACAGTATTGATTATTTTTAAATTTATAAGGAAAAAACCAGCCCCGCTTGTAAGGTTAGACTTTCACCTGGCCGTCATCGCCTCCCTAGATATCCAGCATGAAGAAAGTGAAAGTGTACATCATACAGAGAATGTTGCCCAATGCTAATAAGATTTCTAATGAAAACAATGCAGCTCTGCTTTCAAGGTTAGACTTTCACATGGCCTTCATCGCCTCCCTAGTTGTAGATATCCATCATTGACCAGCCGATCGTCAGGGTCCGGAAACTTCCTGGAACGCGGGAAAAGGACTGGTGCGTTTGTATTTGTAGTGATAACGATGCAGGCAGGGGGCGTAAATTCCGTAATGCATTCGCCAAGTGTGCCAAGGGTCTTCACTTGGACTGTTGCAGACACCACGTGTGCTGAAAATACTAACAGACTAGCATATTGACATGATTCATTTATTATAATATAACGTAATGTATAAGATGTCGCTTATACATTGTACATACTATCTTGTTGGTCACTTGTTTCGCATGTTACTAGCTTCATGTTCACGATTTAAACAAACAAGTACAAGTAGGCTTTCATAATTAAACCATGGTTCATTATACACATCACACATCACACAAATTTGAAAGAAGGAATAATAAAAGAAAGAGGATAAATATTTGTATCATATTTTAATTTGAATTATTGTCTTAAAATATTTAATAAGCTACGCCAAATGTGTTGCGCAAGAAACAATAATTGCCATTATTAAAAGTAATTAGTTTAGTTTTCAACGTTTTTTTCTTTCAATCGTGCGATATTTCCAATGTTAATTTTAGCTATAAAACCCCTCTAAGAACTGATATATGTATTGATTAAGTGACGTTCAACATGTTACCATAGTAACTAAAAGTGAAAATAAAGCATTTTAACACTTGCAATATCATCAAGATAGATACCAGTGGAAGAAATATCATGGAGTGGCAAAAACATAAAAATCAATTTTTTTCATCAATATTAGTCGTAATTCTGTGGCATTTTGACGTCATAACAATTCCAAAAACCCCCGGCACTCAAAGGGTTAAAGACTTTTTGAACAAACCTCGTATAATATCATGTTTTTTTTAATCTATGTGTTACATGTTCTAACATATTTTGATAAGTTAAGGGCAAAGTGTAAAGCCAAGTTTTAAGTCATTGACAAAAAATGTCATTGGCAACAATGTTTCAACTCTTTACACTTGAGACATTGATATTTATTTACTTCAATTCAATCAGGGTTTAAGTACAACCTACCCTGCTTTTAATTAGGCTGTTATTACTACAAGGGACTGCAAGATATTATTGCAAAATAAGAGAAAGCATAGATATCAGCATTAATATTCTTTCATTAATTAATCTTACGAATGAAGTGATTATATTTTGTTATATATGTAAATGTCTGTTATATTTTATTATCATGACTCTTAAAATGCAGATGAAAGCTACATTCAGAATTGAGTTGAGAAAAGAAAGGACAATGAAGAATCCAGACCCGTAGCCAGGATTTGCCAAGGGCAGTTTTCAAAAATTTCCAGGGGGATTCATATTTTTACAATTTGGCCCACATATAGCTTAAATCACTTGTGAAGTGCTCAAAATGGTGAAAAACTACATGATTTTGAAAGAATTTTTGCAGTTTCCACGTTGTTAAAGTTTCCACTTTTACAATTGTATCATGAAATTCTTCTATATTGTATATATTAGAGTCATTTTGCACGAACGCTTCTCAGGAGAAGTGATTTTATCATTTTTACAGGAAATTTATTACAGACATAGTATCACATTCTCACATGCATATATAAAATTTCAGGACCGTGTGCAATATACTTCCTGAGATACATTTACTCTAGGATTTGATCCAATGGATTCATGGTTTATGAGGTCATTTAATTGAATTACTATTAAGAGGGCCCTCTTAATTTTGCAAGGAATATTGATTTTTTCATTTTTCTTCTTAGCATTTTTTCTCCAACTTCCAGCTAGGTTTCAGTAATCTACTATACCATGGGAGATTTGGGTCGAACTTGTTGGGAAATTACTTTATATTCAGGTCAAGGGTCAAAATCTAGGTCAAATTTTTTCTACGCTCCTAAAAATGGTCAACAAAAATTCAATATTTTGAGCTGAAATTTTTGATTACAGATAGCAGAGATTATGCTCATAGTGAAAGCAGAAAATTTATACATGGAATTTTGTCCTCGTTTTGAGATATTTGCGTCCCAAAAAATGCTCAAAATCGTCTTTTTCATTTTGCTCCAAATTGACTAGACTAGGTCAAAGAAATTGATTTTTCAAATAGATTTTTTGGATTCCAATTTAGGTATATTCAATCCCAAAAGATTTACTGAGGCCTAAAAAAGTAAAATTTGCAAGGTCAAAAGTCAAGGTTATCAAACTAAATCACGAACTGTGTTATCTATGTTTCTCAAAATTGGTGACTACAAATTAATATTTCCGCCTGAAATTCTGGGAAAGCAATACTTTAAAGCTTTTATACGGTTTAGTAAATCATAATTTTCAGAAATTTTGCTCCAGTTTTGAGATATTAGAGCTCAAATACAGCAAAGGATAGGTATCGATATGTTGAACTGAATTCAACAATGTTTTTCTCTTAAACCAGTTATTGAAAACATTATGTAAAAAAACAAGGCAGTTTATATAATGTTGACTGATTGGCAACAATTTAATGCAAAAATTATTTATATGTATTTTATATAACTGTTTTTGTTAACATTTTTTTTTTTTTTAGTGCAATTGTTTTTGTTCCTTTCTACCAATTCTTGAGAATGAAATGTCTTTCCGAACCTTGTTGGAACAAAATAGCAGATACAACATTTTCTTAGACCTCTCAATATTATAATTATGCAAAGGTAATTTTGGTTGATTAAACAAAAAGTATGCAAAAACTTAAATCAAAACCCCCCAAAATAGATAAAACTTAAGATAAATCTTTTACTTTATTAACAAGATACTTTTTTAAAATCAACCAAATTTTCCTTTGTACCATTACAATATTGAGAGACCTAAACACGTTGTGTTTATGTCGTTTTGTTCCAGTGAGGTTAATGTTTAGGTTTTGGTTAGCATTAAAGATGATGTTAGGGTTAAAACTAGGGTTAGGGTTAAAGCTAGGATTAGGGTTAGTGCTTGAGCTAGGGTTAGGTTTAGGGCTGGGGTTATGTTAAGACCTAAGGTTGGGGTTAAATCTAGCGTTAGGGTTAAAACCAGCTAGGGTTAGGGTTAGAACTAGGCTTAGGGCTAGAGCTAGGGTAAGAATTATAAATGGGTTCTTCAAGGATGTGTTGGGGCAGGTGTCAGTTAATATTCAAAGCTGAACAAACACACAGGTGTTATTGTTCTGTTCGAACCATGTACACTAATGGAGTTTAGCTTCAGGTGAAAATACTAATATCTTGTCTGTTTTATGGTTGAGAAAAACAAAGCTGTCTCATTGCCCTAAAGGTTGCTGACATGCCAATTAGCATATCAGTGATCTCCCCATGTCACTTTTACCGGGGGTTCCCCCTACTTGAAACCAAAGGCCCCCCAGTTGGCACCCATTTGGAATCTGCACTTCAACTTCTGATTTGAAAAATGAGTGAAGTTAAAGCACCTACACTGAGATATTGTGAGCGTAGCGAGTGCTGATTTTTTCAGACTTGAAATCTTGCACCCAGTTGAAAAATTTTTTAGGGGAGAACACTGCATATATATGAATACTAATATATATGGACTCATGAATGAGATTATGAAAAACATGTTTGTTTTTATTTATTGTGTCACCACCACAAGAGGTGACATATTGTTATTGTCTTAAACTTATTATTGGATTGTGTTCAGCATTCTGCAGTTGGTGTTCAGCAGTTGATATTAGGCCGTCAGCATCTGAATGCCTTCTTTTAATTAATTTCATTTTAGTTATTCTTACCTGTGTGCCATATTCACTTTGGATGAACTCATAAATCGAGTTACGAAAACTAATCCGTTTTCGTAACAAAATGGCGCAACCATTATACGATAAAATTTGTTTTTCCATGATTCTGTGAGACATAGGCAAAATCATTCCTACCTTGGATCCACCTGGAATCCTCATAAAACCCACAGGGAATCCATGTGAAATCCACATGGATTTTAGGCACATTGATTCATGTGGAATAGGGAAAGCTTCTCCATGTTTATTCACAAAATATCCACGTTAAAATGTGGATCAATTCACGTTGAAATAGTGTGGATTCCATGTGGAATCTATGATTGCCACACATATCCAAGTAGATTCCATGTGGATCATATTGGGGTCATACAACAATTGTTTTCCTTAAAATAGAGAAAACGCTTTAGAATTACAACAACATTCCATATTAAATCATCTGTAACATTGCCAAATGATCTTATTATGCTATGAAACTTACAGAGATAGTAGAAATGTATCTAAGTTACAAAATGTGAAATTTTCATCATTGTATCTCAAATATTCTATAAATTAGAATAAAAATTTCAAGACTTATGGGACAACCCTAGTATGCTGGAACGAGCAGTGAACAACTTCAACATTCACGTTGCAGCAGTTAATCAGAACCACTAGTGATTCGCTCGATTACGCTCTAAACAGAGGAGTGCAAGAATCAACACAGCATTAGCCAAGCTGCATCATAGAATGTCACTCTCTATGTATTATGTTTTAGTTGGAGTGTATAAGCAGTAAACAGAGAGTGCAAGAATCAACACAAAATTAGCCAAGCTGTATCATAGAATGTCACTCTCTATGTATTATGTTTTAGTTGGAGGGTATAAGCAGTAAACAGAGGAGTGCAAGAATCAACACAGCATTAGCCAAGCTATATCATAGAATGTCACTCTCTATGTATTTTGTTTTAGTTGGAGGGTATAAGCAGTAAACAGAGGAGTGCAAGAATCAACACAGCATTAGCCAAGCTGTATCATAGAATGGGAATGGACAGGTCGGCAGTCACAGGATATAAAGAGGTTTTAAAGTAAGTTCCTCATTAAACTGTTTATGGACAGATGTTATCCTGTACAGATAATTATCCTACTGAAAATGGTTTGTTAGGGATATAGAGAAGCTAAATGTCCTTTCATCTGTTGGGACAATAGCTCAAATACCAGTTGATGTATTTTTTTCAAATTTTATAGGCTAAGATCTTATACACATTGTTATTCTGTTATCGAATTTGGTGTGGTGTGCTATTTTGGTCATATTTCCTGTCAAAAAGGCTTCAGGCTTTTGAAACTCTGTTTCATAAATATGTATAATTGTTATTAGTATATTGAAATGGCTTGCTGTTGTCAAGTCTCACCCTTACAACTCAGTTACACACCAAAGTTTAATATTATTTACATACAAATATTTATAATTGTTATTATTAGTATATTGAAACAACAATTCGATAGTGAATGCTATGAACTCATATCAGTATAATGTAGGAAGAGCAATATTTAACGTAAAAAGTACACCAGCTAGAGATGCTCTACTTGGTGACGTAGGTTGAATGTTATAGATAAACATAAAATATATATTATTTTATACATTTGAAAAATAGAGCTGTAAAATGGAGTTATAGCGATATGTTCTCTAACTTTAAAGCAAAGAAAAACTCAGTATGGCCATATATTGATTGTGTGTCAAAGATATTAACTGCCCATGGGCTAGATGGATGTATTTCATCTGAAATTGCAGACTGATATGACACATTTCTCAAGATCTCAAATGATCAGAGAAAATCTGAATTTATTGAAGCAATCGATGATAAAAAGTCTTTAAACCTCTATAGAAAGTTGAAATTTCATACGAATAAAAAGAAGTACCCCGTGACTATGTTTCTGGCCAGAACAGGCTGCTTTAACCTTGAGGAAGACAGAAAAAGATGAAAAATAAGTAATGGTATTTGTAAATTATATGTAACTTAAATGTTATAGATGATCTCATGCATTGTTTCCTCCTTGCCCTCCTTTGAATGTTTTTTCTTGGCAAAAAATGTTCACTATATACAGGTTTTACTGTAACACTCAAATTGAATTATGAATATTCGAAGAGGACATTTAAATCTACAGTATGTAAAAAAATAAAAATTGCCCAAAGCAGGTGTAACATGCAGTAGACCAATTCAATAAAAGACAAGTCTCAGTTTGGAGAAAAAAGTTCATCAGTCTACTGCACTAATAATTTTTTTATGAAAAATAAAGAAATAACATCCAAATTGAATTATGGATATTCAAAAGAGGACATTTAAATCCCAGACTTTATCAATTACAGCCTAAAATTAACATAGAGAAACGTACTTTTCAGATTTCAAGAAGAATAAGGACCATATTTACCTCATAATTAGACAAGAGAGACAATCACTCTTATTTTTCGTGTTTACAACTCTGTCAAGATATCAAAGTAAAAGTGGTTAGATCCGATCAGTCAAACCAATCAAAAAAGCATTACTCCATATACAGTAAAAGTTAAAAGATCCCTTGACCTGATGTTTATTTTACATAACAAGGTTTTGTGACATGATGTCTTACTTTGAGAACAGTATTAGTATTTTGTTTTGTTTACTCAGTAAATGTGGATTCATTCTTAGATCATCAAGGTGAAGTTGGAGAATCAAGCTGAAGATAATTAAGAAAACAAAAGTGTCAAGTTGCTAATAATCATGGATACGATTTGAATGTAAACTTAATGATGAGAATATATGATTATATTAAGGATAAGTTATACAATAATGATGTTATACAATATAGTGAGCACATTCTAATTATCTCAATTAGCAATGATTAACGACTTGAATATCAAGTAAAAGGAACCCAATGCAGAGGTGACATATTGTTAAGGTTTCTCACTTTTTCTGAATGGCGATGGCGTCTGTAACAAACTTGTAACTTTCCTGTAATAAGATTCTTATTATAAAATCTTACAAAATCCAATAATAGACTAGATGCGAGTAGAAATAATTTTGATTTATGTCATTAAATATTCAAAATTCAGTCAAAGTGATGTCATATTTGAAATCTCCATGTAAAAGTACATCTAGGAACATGGTTTTGAAAATTGTTTATCAACTTTGAAAATTTGATTTCTTGTTCGGGTTGACCCCATAGACCCCATGCTGCAAAGCCACAAAAAGTGAAATATCTTTTCTTGTATTGGACAGATGACATTTCTTTTACTGGACATATTTTAATTTGTATAACTATAAGATGCATAAGGGTTTTATGAAAATTGAACCACTAAAACAGATGTAATTTAAGTTAAAGTGAACTTTCTACTATACCCGCCATGCTATCTGACCCGAATGAGCCACCTGGTGGTGAAACTGTTAACTATCCTACTCGCCTCTGCGTTATTAAAAATGTACTGTTAGACTGGCTTCCAATTTTTCAAAGTCATCTACAAGATCTCAGAAGTTCAAATCTCACTTTAAATTTGAGATTTGACCTTCAATGACCTTCTCGAGGTCAAAAAAGGTCAAAGAGGTCTTTTTTTAACTTACCTGAAATTGATCAATTTTTTCAAAATCATGTTCTAGTTCTCGGAAGTTCAAATCTGACTTTAGATTTGACCTTCAATGACTTGCTCAGGGTAAAAAAGAACTATATATTTAATAACTCAAATACCAGTCGTAAGATTTGGTTCAGATGTTATTTTGATGCCCAGGGACAAAGGAAGTCTGCTAAAAAGACGTTTTCAAGATGGCAACTGAATTTCAAAATGGTCACCATTTTTTGTAAAAACATAATCTTTGATAATTCAAATACTCAGTGGAGAAGGAATTTTCTAAGATGGCAGCATATTTTTGGGTGCTAACTTCAAAGACAAAATTTTAAGATAACCATCAATGTCAAACATCCTGATTATACACTAGCAAGTTTAAAAGGAGATTTATTTTGTTATTTTGGACATCTAAATTGAAATATGAATTCATTTTTTGATTTGAAAAATTATAATTCTCTTGGTGATGAAAGGGTTAATTTTTCAACTTTGTAACAATCAAACATCCGAAAGCAGGCCAGCTCCTTAAAGCTGACACTCTCAGCTTTCTAATGGTGTATTGAAACTTTAGGACAAATAGTGGCATTCTTTTGACCCTACTTTATACTGGTTTCATGCTTGAAGTATTGAAATATAAAAATTTAACAACAAAAACAAAAATTACATGTACATTTTCGGGGAAAATTATATTCTGACTTAAATCTGTATCCACCCCATGCAGACAGATCGCATAAAATTACAATCGCATGATGCGAGAGTTGACAATAAGCAGGAAACTAGAAAGATTTTGTCACCCCTTAAATAAAGGGTTAATGACAATCACATTTAGTTCTATAAATATGAGAATAGCATATTCCCATAACCTTTTGATATTTCAAGGAAACTCGTTTGAAAAGTGATGGCCTTGATTGAAAATACGATATAAAGACAAAACCGAAATGGAATTTGTTAGATTTCTTTGAAAAACGAAGAAATATTCATCACACATTAAGGGGACTCATCTCTAACCCTTACGACAATGGTGATACACCTGCCAGTTGCAGAACAGAAAATATATATCTCCAGGAAAAGCTTGTTTGTTAACTTCACGTTTGACAAGTGTTCTATAATTAAATGTTAATGACGCTGAATGACGGTATATGACACATTACGACATAGTAACTCATAGCAACTATGGGCTCCTCACTCGAAGCAGTGTTTTATCATGACGTCATATAACACTCTTGTTCACGAATTCTTGGAATATGGTACCATCATCTGTGACGTCAGTGACACATTGCCCCATCAACAATTAAACAAACAAATAACCTATACGTCACTGATTTCCCAAATAATTGCATAATTTGGGTGTTTGCTTTGTTTTCTTGTATTCGTTCAAACTTAGTTCGCTTTATTCCAGCAGTATAACAAGCATGCAAATGTTTTACAGACATGGCAAACCAGCATGTAACTTGCTTTTTTCTTTTTTCCGCTAAATGCCATTTGTATGAGCAATTTATATAAGGTTTCATCATATATTACCTTTGAAATCAAAATGATAAGTATCCCATATATTACTGATGTATAAGAAAATCGTTTTAGCCTACGGTATAGCCACCGAGTTGAGTGCCTCTTAATAACATCTAAAATAAAAAAGTTTCACCATCGATTTTTTACTTCAAATAACATCAAAGTTTATTGAAATAAAGAGGCGATTGAAATTCAACATTGCGTCAAGAACCATTTACAAATGTTAGTCTTACATAAGGCTTTAATTTATTTACCCTCATTTGAATTTTCTTGAAATTCAAACTATTCAGATGATAAAAGGCATTGCATTTGTATCATTTTAAGCGATTATAAAATAATTTGCATGCCCAATAACACGTATAGCGAGATCATACCGTTTCGAACTAAAAAAAATTGTTAGTGATAATCGATGAAATTCTTGAAAATATAAGAAAAAGCCGAAACTCCGAAAATAAATAACAGAAAAAATCGACGGTGGAACCTTTTTATATTTTCAGATGTTATTTAGGGGTACGTGAACTATTGTTTAAAACAATAAAAACAATATGTCAATGTTTTAGTTTTTTCCTCAAAAAATGTCAAAGTTTATGAAAATTGAAAGTCAATTAAAATTTGATATGACGTCAATTGTACTGCCGAATTTGGGTAAGGGGTAAGAGGCCTTTACAAAGATTGATATAATAATGCTTTATTTACCCCGAATCGAATTTTCTTGGAACTCAAACTCTTCAGATAATCAAAGTGAAGTTAATCAAAGACATGTTAAGCGGTTGTATAATAATTCACATCTCTTATATGCGTATGGCGTAACTATACCGGTGAGCAATATAAACATTTCTTGTTGGAGAGATAATTGATGAAATTCTTAAAAATATCAGAAAACGCCGACATTTTGAATCTAAATAACAGAAAAAATCGACGGTGGAACCTTTTGATATTTTCAAATGTCATTTAGGGATACGTGAAATATTGTTTGAAACAATAAAAACAATATGTCAATGTTTTAGTTTTTTCCTCAAAAAATGTCAAAGTTTATGAAAATTGGAATACAATTAAAATTTTATATGGCGTCAATTGCACTGCCGAACTTGGGTAAGGGGTCAAAACTCTTTATCTAAGCTGTTCTTATTATGCTTTATTAGTACCCATGAAAAATAATTGGCATCAAAAGTCTTCAGCTTATCAAATGCCGTAAATTAAAAACAATCTTGGTGGCCGTGTGACGATTTTCCTATCAATCATCCATAAATTGAGAACGTGTCGCTTTTAAAGCAAGCGTATTCTAGTGAAACGGGTAAATTGAGGCGCTTTTTCCGTAAAGTCACACCCATCTTTCAGACGATGAAGTGAAATATTTTGATGGCTAACATCTAATGTTTTTTACATCAAATGAAAGCATATATGATACCCTTCGGAAAAAAAGAAACATAAACAGTGCGTGCAGGGTATCCCAAAATCGGCTAGGTTAGAGATGAGTCCCCTTAAAGTTTTCAAAACAGAAAATTTTTTTAAAAAAATAAAATAAAAATATGAATAGTAGGGCTTACAGTTCAAATTCTACCTGGTTGCATTAACATTTGTTTTGTATATGTCATACAATTAATATTTGAAACACAAATATTATTCAACTTATGATTGGACAATGCATGATGTGTACTTGAGGTTAGAAAGTAACATCATGCATTGTCCGATCATAAGTTTGAATAATATTTGTGTTTCAATGACAAAATCTTTCTAGTTTTCTGCTTAGTGTCGAGTCTTGCATCATGCAATTGTAATTTTATGCAATCTGTCTGCATGGGGTGGTATCATAGGTAATATTTTGCAGTAAAACCATTACATTACAACTTTAAATATGCTAACGAAAATACTGTAAAATCAACACTTACATTTTGAGAATTTTCTACAATATACCCCTGAACCCCTTCATTTGATAGTTTTTCATTATTTAAAGGCAGAATCAGAGCTATATGGGGTGACAAAATTGCAAGCAACTTGTACAACTAATTGCCATCTAAAAACTGAAAAACTACACACACTTTAAGTAATTCTTTTCAAAATTTAATATTAAAAGAAGGGAAAGTTTGCAACAATATCTAATGATACAGATTGCAAGTTACAGACGTATCTGAATAAATTTGAACTTTTGTGTATTTAGGATAAAAAAGACACTGAACCCCTGTATTAAAAATAAATAAATACATAGAGGTAATTTGATTGGAGGGATGGAATATGAATTTTATTCTGAGGGAAAATAAGATATTGGCCAATGAATTATCATATTGACAGAAGGTGACAACCTGAGTGTTCATTTTTTTCGTCTTTTATAGCCCATTTATTTCATTTACATTATACACAATATACAAGTACATAATATTATATCAAAGTAGAAAAACTTGTGCCGGAAAAAAAGAAAATAAAAAGGTAGATGTCACATTGGTAACACCCCAGTCACATTTGTCGTACGGAGGCCATGCGTCGACCGCAGATCAATTAAATCAGTGTATTTTTGCGGCGAGCGTAGAAAACTACGCTCGCCTTGCGGCCTCCGTACGGCGTATCCAGTTTTTTACAGGCCGCAGGGTCGCCATAGAAATTATAACTCGGAGTTATAATATTTGTTCATTTCTGAGGTCCCCGTAGAAATCAACTGGCTCAACAAGATTGAATCATTATTTGTCAATGTTTCACGATCACTTTTCATTTGATATTACATCCTAGCACTATGAATAACATTTATAAATTGTCCCGATGTAATTAAAATGAAAAAAGTATTATTTATCAACAGAAATTTAAAATTCACCATGCGGCTGCCATGGGAAATGTGACTGCAAAAGTATGAGAGTGCAGAAATTCTACGGCAAGCGTAGAAATGTTACTGGCCGCAGAAATGATAGACCGCAAGGTCGCCGTAGGAAATGTGGGGTGTAAGGAGGCTTTTTCATTTTTAACATAGTTTATAAGTTGGGGATGCAAGGGGACTCATGTGAATCATTTTAGGAGGCTGCAACTGTCGTTGTAACTCTTTTCTTCCTTTGAAATTAGTATGTTTTACTTCACACTGTTCTTCCATCTTTGTAAGTCTGGTTTTTCTTGTGCTATTTGGTTTTATATGTAGTATTTCATCTTAAGGTAAACCTGAGTGTTCATATGATATTTACAAGGCCAATATTATATTTTCTCGAGGAAAAAAATCATATTCCATCACGACCATCAGTAACCTATTTATTCCATAATATTTTCTGAAACTTATTAATTTTCAATTTTGATTGTCATCACCCAATGCTGGTGACATATATCTCTTTTATCGACTAAATAATCATGTCATGTAAATGACATATCAGTCACTACAGTATACAAAAAACCTACAAACTACAACTACATATTACAAAACTACTTTACATCAGTTTCAGGGTATGATAACAGAATATCAGTGTGGTGTATACATGTTTTTTTAAAAATATTTACATAATATTAATCATTTTCAAAATTTTTAAAAGAGTGATATACAAAGGACCACGAGTTGTTTGTAGAATGAATCTGGGGAGCTTTTTCATGCATTTCGCATGAAACAGCTCCTGAGATTCATTCTACAAACAACTCGTTGTCCTTTGGCATACAATGATACAACTTGATTTGCCATACAACATTTTCAACTTTTATTTTACAAGTTTTAAAATAGAACAAAAAAATTAAGATAAATTTCTTGGAATAGTTTTGATATGGGATCTGATACGGGATTTTGGCTGACACGGGATCTGATACAGGATTTTTTGAATATCAATTCCATTCCCTGTTTATTTCCCAGGGAAAAAATGCTAATATGGAATAAATGTATTTGTTTACATTTATCTTAACTATATTTACATTTATCTTATCTTGTAACTTTATGGCTATCTATAAATAAAGCCAAGACAAAAACATTTATAGTTTTCTATTGTCTTCTGATCTTGCAAAACATTTTAAGGCACAGGTTGGGACATAAAGTTTTCAATTGTCTTCTGATCTTGAAGAACATTTTAAGACACAGCTGGGGACACAAAGTTTTCAATTGTCTCCTGATCTTGAAAAACATTTTAAGACACAGGTTTGGACACAAGGTTTTCAATTGTTTTCAATTGTCTCCTGATCTTAAAAAAACATTTTAAGACACAGCTGGGGACACAAAGTTTTCAATTGTCTCCTGATCTTGAAAAACATTTTAAGACACAGGTTTGGACACAAAGTTTTCAATTGTTTTCAATTGTCTCATGATCTTAAAAAAAACATTTTAAGACACAGGTTGGGACACAAAGTTTTCAATTGTTTTCAATTGTCTCCTGATCTTGAAAAACATTTTATGACACAGGTTAAGACACAACATTTTCAATTCTCTTCTGATCTTGAAGAACATTTTAAGACACAGGTTGGGACAAAAAGTTTTCAATTGTCTCCTGATGTTTAAAAACATTTTTAGACACAGGTTTGGACACAAAGTTTTCAATTGTTCTCAATTGTCGTATGATCCTGAAAAACATTTTAAGACTCAGGTTGGGACACTAAGATTTCAATTGTCATCCAATCTTGAAAAACATTTTTAGACACAGGTTTGGACACAAAGTTTTCAATTATCTTCTGATCTTGAAAAACATTTTAAGACACAGGTTGGGACATAACGTTTTCAATTATCTTCTGAATTTGAAGAACATTGTAAGACACAGGTTCGTACATAACGTTTTTCAACTGTCTTCTGATCTTGAAAAACATTTTAAGACACAGGTTTGGACACAAAGTTTTCAATTGTTCTCAATTGTCTCATGATCTTGAATAACATTTTAAGACACAGGTTGGGACACAACATTTTCAATTGTCTTCTGATCTTGAAAAACATTTTAAGATACAGGTTGGGACTCAAAGATTTCTATTGTTTTCAATTGTCTTCTGATCTTGAAAAACATTTTAAGATACAGGTTGGGACTCAAAGATTTCTTTTGTTTTCAATTGTCTTCTGATCTTGAAAAACATTTTAAGATACAGGTTGGGACTCAAAGATTTCTATTGTTTTCAATTGTCTCATGATCTTGAAAAACATTTTAAGACACAGGTTGGGACACAACATTTTCAATTGTCTTCTGATCTTGAAAAACATTTTAAGATACAGGTTGGGACTCAAAGATTTCTATTGTCTTCAATTGTCTTCTGATCTTGAAAAACATTTTAATACACAGGTTGGGACACAAGTTTCAGACATTTTTTCATTGCTTTTAACAATTCTTTTTGCTGCAAACACTATGGGATTCAGTAAAAATACAATGAGAAGTGGTTTAGAAATCAACTCCTGCCATATTTTCAAAACAGGAGCATTGCTGCCAAAAATAATAGTACCCATTCCACGTAACGCTATAAAAGCGCACCACATGCCAACGAAAAAACCAAATAATGTTATTGTTGACTTTAAGGTCTTGAACCCTTTTTTGTAAGCCACCGCCTTGCTGTGGTCAACAGCTTCTAACTGACTGAGTATACCTCTGCGGTGCTTATGTGCGACCCAGAGAATCTTAACATGTAAAATGGTACCAATTGTAATATTCATCCCAATAGTTATATACATGAAACCACCCTTACTTTGTAACCAAGTGCTGAAGTTATCACAGACTTCTGCACTTGTATATTCTTTTAAGCTGAGAATTGTTGATATGAATGGCAGAACTGTTAAAAACCAACAAGCAGCACATGTTTTGGCAACATGTTTCATTACTTTGTTATACTTATAAGGATGTTGGATCGCGATATATCGGTCTACACTGACAACAACAAACATATAGAGAATAAAAGTTCCTGGAAAGTTTGATGTAATTAGCCGAATGATGCAAATATATTTACTGGTGACTGCTCCATAGATGACCTTCTTTGCAATATCGTATTCATAGTTCATTAAAATACGTATCACTGTACCAACCGCTCCTTGTAACATTCCAGCGCATGCAATGTTGAACACAATTATATTTGTTGGGGTTTGGAGTCGTCTATTTCTTAAAACTGTTACGACCAACAAGAGGTTTGTTAGTGTCATCCCAAGCGCAAGGCAAGCAGAAAGGGAATGAAGTCCAATAAATACACTGATAGGATGCTGAGAGTTTTGCCATGGGAACTTGGTAGAGACATTTTCAGTTGTATTCTGTTGATTCGAGTTCATACTGTCTGTATTATTTTAGTCAACCTGTCCTAACATCGCTTGTTCTCCAAAGTTGTGAATTTTTAAATTATTATTCAATTTCCCAAGTGCCATAAAATGAGTTGTCAATTTTTGTCATGAGCATAAGCTGTAGTGGTGTAAGTTGTAGAGAAAGCTGGAAATCGAAAAAAGAAAATTGCATGAATTCACTTATAAAACAGTTAACTTAATTGCTTAAATTATTAATAATTAAAGATGTCAACTCATTTTGTTGCTCGTTCTACAAATAAACAGCTCTATTTCCTTATTTAACATATATCTGTCCCTATATAAATTCACGTTTCTAAGATCGCAATGCGATTTAGCAAAATTGGGTGTCATTCGCAAAATTTCCAATCTTGCCCAAAAAAACACAAGAAAAGCAAGAAATGTAAATTTCTTTACTGGAATTGACGCATAAAATCCCAAAATCTAAATATTTCATTACCTTCTCGAATACTCTTCACAATTTTTGCAAAGGATTGGTCTCGATATGGTGAATTGAATTCAATAATGTTTTTCTCTTAATTATTGAAAGCATTCTGTAAAGAAATGCGGTCCTTTATGTATAGTTGACTGATTGACAACAATTTAATGCAAAAATAATTTATATAGATTTTACTAAACTGTTTTTGTTAACATTTTTTGTCTTTTCGTGCAATTGGTTTTTGTTCCTTTTTGCCTATTCTTGAGAATATAAAGATAAGATAAAATAAAAGATTAAGATATAAAGTATCTTTTCGAAGCTTCTTGGAACAAAATATACAACATTTTCTTAGACCTCTCAATATTATATAGTTATACAAAGGGCATTTTGGTTGTTTATAAAAAGTATTCAAAAGATTAAAACAAAATCCCTTAAAATAGATAAAAATTAAGATAAACCTTTTATTTCATTAACAAGATACTTTTTTAAAATCAACCAAACTTTCCTTTGTACAATTACAAAATTGAGAGACTTAAACACATTGTGTTTATGTCATTTTATTCCAATGAGATTTGGATAAATGTTTCATTTCATTCCGAACATATGATACCAAGAACAAAAGAAGTGTCTGATGTGTTTCTTAAAACAATATAGAGAAAAGTATATAAATTAATTTCAAATTATATTTTACCATTCAAAAGATGACCATTCACACACGGGAATTTCGCGTCATAATTATTCCTCCGCTTGGTGCGCTGTTGTGCATAGCAACGTCCTATGCAACGTGTATAAACATCGCGCGGACGTATAAGTACAACCCGTAATTTTTTCATGTTTGCAATGAAATTTTCTATTCAGATAGGTGTTTTAAACTATGATTTTCTTTCATAATATATATTGTTAAATAGGCATGATACATATCATCGTGTTTCTAAAGAATTGCTTATTTTAATCCTGTTTATTTCAAGTTGATAGGTTCAATATTAGTAAAGTTACGGCTTCACGATGGAGTGGCAATTTCTTCGTAAACTAAAAACCGCATCGTCAGCAAAGATTTAACGAAAACACAACATTTTTGCGCCGGAGGCATTTTTTCATTTATGGATGAATCTTTATCAAATTTGAAACACGTTTGAGCTAAATATACAAATTGTGTCTTGTCCGAGGCGGAATTTTAAAATTCAAATTACAATTAGAGAAAAAATAGCTAACAAGTGTCAAGTTTTACCGCTGATTTTCGAAAAAAATATGATGTAATTCCTTATAGAGTTGGAAGAAAACGAATTGTTTAAACTGCACAGGATAAAAATATGTTAATCCAGATACATGTAAGCTTTATATACAAATCATTAGATACGTTAAAGGGCATCATCAACTACTAGAAAATCGTGTGTAAAGTTGGACAATATTTGACCCGAATTGACCGGCAAAATGGCCGCGCGCTTGCAGCACCTCTAGCGGAGGAATAATTATGACGCGAAATTCCCGGTTGTGTTAAATTGACAATGTGTAAACTTTTCTGAATTTTTTGATGACTGGTTTAAGAGAAACATGTGTTCAAAAAGTTCACCATATCGATACCCATCCTTTCGTTTTTTATGCAAAATCCATAGTTTTTAAATCGCTAAATTTTTGAAAAAAATATATCAATTTTTGAAGGGACAGATATGTAATATTCTATATGTTTCTCTCCAATTTAAATTAGTTGAGTTTATGTTTGCTAGTGCTTACATAAAAAAAAAATTAAAAGAATTTCCTGATTATTGACACTGGAGTCGACACAATTATTTGAGCCTCTCGTTGTGTCAATGATGCTAATCCATGACTATTCACCACTAGTAATATTGCAAAATGTTATTCAATTTGGCCAGTCCCATAAATTGCTCATCATAAAATAAGTTCATAAATTTTGTCATAAACTTTCAAAATATAATTTACAAATAACATTTTAGTTCAATAAAGTGTTCATATAAAATAAGTTATTAGTTATTGTCATAAATTTGCAAATTGTCATTCAATTTCCTCAGTTCCATAAAGTGTTTACAATTCTTACCATAAACTTGCAAAAATGAGTTATCTGGTGTTGTTATACATGTATACTTTCAAATTTTTACCAATTCAGTCAACAAATTAAGTGTTCCTTGTAGAATAAATTCAAAGCAGACCAGTTGCATTAAGTGTTCAGAGAGTGTTCAGTAGTTATCAATTGTTGTTATAAACTTGCAAATTGTCATCTAATTAGACCAGTTCTATTTACAGATAAGTGTTTAGCATAAAATAAGTTAATATAAAATAAATTCATGAATTTTATCATAACCTATACTTACAAAAAGCAGACCAGTTGCATAAAGTGTTCAGAGAGTGTTCAGTAGTTATAAACTTGCAAATTGTCATCTAATTAGACCAGTTCTATTTACAGATAAGTGTTTAGCATAAAATAAGTTAATATAAAATGAGTCCATGAATTTTATCTTAACCTATACTTACAAAAACCAGACCAGTTTCACAAAGTTCCTAAAAGGAGTTGTTGTTGTCAATCCTTTGCCGATTGAATATTAAGAACGAGAGTTGATTCGTAGCCTTCCATAAACTCATTTTATTAATCATTTAACTGGTTGAATTCTATCCATATCATCTTCAGTTATGTCATTTGGCTAAAAAGTGTTCCCATGTTACTGGACAATTTTATTAAAACATTGATTCAAACTCGAGCAATTAATTACTTGGTCTATTTTACTGCCCATTGCTCAACCGCTGACTTACTATCTGATTTGCTGACTGATTGACAGGCTATGCGCTTAAGTCAGTGAGTGGTCATTATATATATAATGAAATGACAATATAGGAGAATCTGCTTTACCAAGCACACATACCACTGTATTGTCTTTAATTTAGTGAGAGTTTTAATTTGGCAAAGAATTGGTATCGATGTGGCGAACTGAATTGAACACATGTTTCTCTTAAACCAGTCATCAAAAAATTCTGAAAATTTCACATCGTCAATTTAATGATCGTCTTTTATTGTAACAATTTAGTTTGAAAAATAATATATCATGATATAAACACAACGTGGTTAGGTCTCTCAATATTGTGATTGTACAATGGAAAGTTTGGTTCATTTTAAAAAGTATCTTATTAATGAATTAAAAGGTTTACTTTTATTTTTATCTATTGTTCGTTTTTTGAATACTTTTTGTTAAATGAACCATACTTTCCTTTGTACGTATAACTATTATATTGAGAAGTCAAATGTTGCACAGGCTATTTTGTTCCAACAAGGTTGAGAAAGATCTTTTATTTCATTCTCAAGAATTGGTAGAAAAGATCAAAAAGCAATTGCACTAAAAACCAAAAATTGTTCACAAAAACAATGATATTAAAAATATACATAAGTAATGTGTTGTTTTTTATTAGGAGGCCCCAACGGGGGGCCTCCTATTAATTTTATAGATATTATTATTATTAGGAGGCCCCATCGGGGGGCCTCCTATTAATTTTATAGATATTATTATTTATTATTATTATTATTATTATTATTTATTCTTCTCTGCACTTTTTCTCCTACTTCCAACTAGATTTCAACTATCTACTATATAAACCTACAAGGGACCTAGGTTGAACTTAAGGGGAAAGGAATTTTTATCTAGGTCAAGGTCAAAGGTCAAAATCTAGGTCAAATCAAAGTTTTTTTTAAGTTTCTCAGATTTCGTCCTCATACTTCATTATTTCTTGCGATGAATTAAAATGTAACTAGATATAAGCATTCTCTACAAATTGCTCACTATATGTACGCGTTAATTTTTTACCGTTTTTGAGATATTTGACGCCAAAAATCGGCAAAAATCAGTCATTTTTCAACTTGCTTCAAATGAACCAGATTTTTTTTTTAAAATCATCAACAAGATCTCAGGAACTCAAATATGTCCTTACTTTTGACTTCTGACCTTTGGTTGACCTTCGGTGACCTTCGAAAGGTAAAAAAAGTCGTTTTTTCAAATTGATTTTCTGGATTCAAATTTAGGTATATTTGATCAGAAAGGACCCACTGAGGTCTAAAAAAGTAAAATTTGCAAGGTCAAAGGTCAAGGTCATCAAACTAAATCACAAACTGTGTTTTCTAAGTTTCTCAAAATTGGAGACTACAAATCAATATTTTTTCATGAAAGTCAGGATACATATTCCTCTATAGGTTCTACACATATTAGCAATTGACTATTTATTAAAATTGTGTACAAGTTTTGAGATATTGGAACTCAAAAACTGAAAAAAGGTCAAATTTCGAAACTTTTCAAGACTAAATTTCAACTTGCTTCAAATTGACCAATTTTTTTTTTAAAACTCATCTACAAGTTCTCAGGATTCCAAATCTAACCTTACTTTTGACCTTTGACCTTTATTTGACCTTCAGTGACCTCCGAAAGGTTAAAAAAATTGATTTTTCAAATCGATTTTCTGGATTCAAATTTAGGTATATTTATTCACAAAATACCTTCTAAGGTCTAAAAAAGTAAAATTTGCAAGGTCAAAGGTCAAGGTCATCAAATGAAAACACAAACTGTGTTTTCTAAGTTTCTCAAAATTGGAGACTACAAATCAATATTTTTAAATGAAAGTCAGAATATATATTCCTCTATAGGTTCTACACATATTAGCAATTGACTATTTATTAAAATTGTGTACCAGTTTTGAGATATTAGAACTCAAAAACTGA